AACTGAGTTTTATTTTGAAGAACACTTATGAATGATATTGAATAAATGTGTTATGAATGTTGTATGAATGCTACTGCAACATACGTGAAGGTATTATGAATGCCTTACGTATACCCCATTCATGTAAATTGTTAACTACCATTCACCTGGGGTGTGTATGTGATGTACAGTGAGGGAAAAAAGTATTTGATCCCCTGCTGATTTTGTATGTTTGCCCACTGACAAAGAAATGATCAGTCTATAATTTTAATGGTAGGTTTATTTTGAACAGGGATAGACAGAATAACAACAACAAAATCAAGAAAAACGCATGTCAAAAATGTTGATTTGCATTTTAATGAGGGAAATAAGTATTTGATCCCCTCTCAATCAGAAAGATTTCTGGCTCCCAGGTGTCTTTTATACAGGTAATGAGCTGAGATTAGGAGCACACTCTTAAAGGGAGTGCTCCTAATCTCAGTTTGTTACCTGTATAAAAGACACCTGTCCACAGAAGCAATCAATCAGATTCCAAACTCTCCACCATGGCCAAGACCAAAGAGCTCTCCAAGGATGTCAGGGACAAGATTGTAGACCTACACAAGGCTGGAATGGGCTACAAGACCATCGCCAAGCAGCTTGGTGAGAAGGTGACAACAGTTGGTGCGATTATTCGCAAATGGAAGAAACACAAAAGAACTGTCAATCTCCCTCGGCCTGGGGCTCCATGCAAGATCTCACCTTGTGGAGTTGCAATGATCATGAGAACGGTGAGGAATCAGCCCAGAACTATACGGGAGGATCTTGTCAATGATCTCAAGGCAGTTGGGACCATAGTCACCAAGAAAACAATTGGTAACACACTACGCCGTGAAGGACTGAAATCCTGCAGCGCCCGCAAGGTCCCCCTGCTCAAGAAAGCACATATACATGCCCGTCTGAAGTTCTCCTCTGAATCATTCAGATGTTCATTGGCAAACTGGGTGAAAGTGCTGTGGTCAGATGAGACCAAAATTGAGCTCTTTGGCATCAACTCAACTCGCTGTGTTTGGAGGAGGAGGAATGCTGCCTATGACCCCAAGAACACCATCCCCACCGTCAAACATGGAGGTGGAAACATTATGCTTTGGGGGTGTTTTTCCGCTAAGGGGACAGGACAACTTCACCGCATCAAAGGGACGATGGACGGGGCCATGTACCGTCAAATCTTGGGTGAGAACCTCCTTCCCTCAGCCAGGGCATTGAAAATGGGTCATGGATGGGTATTCCAGCATGACAATGACCCAAAACACACGGCCAAGGCAACAAAGGAGTGGCTCAAGAAGAAGCACATTAAGGTCCTGGAGTGGCCTAGCCAGTCTCCAGACGTTAATCCCGTAGAAAGTCTGTGGAGGGAGCTAAAGGTTTGAGTTGCCAAACGTCAGCCTCGAAACCTTAATGACTTGGAGAAGATCTGCAAAGAGGAATGGGACAAAATCCCTCCTGAGATGTGTGCAAACCTGGTGGCCAACTACAAGAAACGTCTGACCTCTGTGATTGCCAACAAGGGTTTTGCCACCAAGTACTAAGTCATGTTTTGCAGAGGGGTCAAATACTTATTTCCCTCATTAAAATGCAAATCAATTTATAACATTTTTGACATGTGTTTTTCTGGACTTTTTTGTTGTTATTCTGTCTCTCACTGTTAAAATAAACCTACCATTAACATTATAGACTGATCATTTCTATGTCAGTGGGCAAATGTACAAAATCAGCAGGGGATCAAATACTTTTTTCCCTCACTGTATACAGTGCATTCGGAATGTATTCAGACCCCTTGAATTTTTCCACATTTTGTTACGTTACAGCCTTATTCTAAAATGTATTAAATAGTATTTTCCCCCTCATCAATCGACACACAATACCCCATAATGACAAAGCAAAAACAGGTTTTTAGGATTTTTTGCAAATGTATTAAAAATACAAAACTGAAATATCACATTTACATCAGTATTCAGACCCTTTACTCAGTACTTAGTTGAAACACCTTTGGCAGCGATTACAGCCTTGAGTCTCCTTGGTTATGACGCTACAAGTTGGCACACCTGTATTTGGGGAGTTTCTCCCATTCTCTGCAAATTCTCTCAAGCGCTGTCAGGTTTGATCGGGAGCGTCGCTGCACAGCTATTTTCAGGTCTCTCCAGAGATGTTCGATCGGGTTCAAGTCCGGGCTCTGGCTGGGCCACTCAAGGACATTCAGAGACTTGTCCAGAAGCCACTCCTGCATTGTCTTGGCTGTGTGCTTAGGGTTGTTGTCCTGTTTGAAGGTGAACCTTCACCCCAGTCTGAGGTCCTGAGCGCTCTGGAGCAGGTTTTCATCAAGGATCTCTCTGTACTTGGCTCCGTTCATCTTTCCCTCGATCCTGACTAGTCTCCCAGTCCCTGCCGCTTAAAACATCCCCACAGCATGATGCTGCCACCACCATGTTTCACCGTAGGGATGGTGCCAGGTTTCCTCCAGACGTGACGCTTGGCATTCAGGCCAAAGAGTTCAATCTTGGTTTCTTCAGACCAGAGAATCTTGTTTCTCATGGTCTGAGAGTCCTTTAGGTGCCTTTTGGCAAACTCCAAGTGGGCTGTCATGTGCCTTTTACTGAGGAGTGTCTTCCATCTGGCCACTCTACCATAAAGGTCTGATTGGTGGAGTGCTGCAGAGATGGTTGTCCTTCTGGAAGGTTCTCCCATCTCCACAGAGGAACTTTGGAGCTCTGTCAGAGTGACCATCGGGTCACCTCCCTGACCAAGGCCCTTCTCCCCCGAATGCTCAGTTTGGCCAGGCAGCCAGCTCTAGGAAGAGTCTTGGTTGTTCCAAACCTTTTGCAGAAGTTTTTTGGTACCCTAACCCAGATCTGTGCCTCGACACAAACCTGTCTCGAGCTCTACGGACAATTCCTTCAACCTCATGGCTTGGTTTTTGCTCTGACATGCACTATCAACTGTGGGACCTTATATAGACAGGTGTGTGCCTTTCCAAATCTTGTCCAATCAATTGAATTACCACAGGTGGACTCCAATCAAGTTGTAGAAACATCTCAAGGATGATAAATGGAAACAGGATGCACCTGAGCTCAATTTCGAGTCTCATAGCGAAGGGTTTGAACACTTATGTAAATAAGGTATTTCTGTTTTTAATTTTGTATATTTTTGCTAAAAAAAAAAAAGTTTTCGCTTTATCATTATGGGGTATTGTGTGTAGATTGATGAGGGGAAAAAATAATTTCATCAATTTTAGAATAAGGCTGTAATGTAACAAAATCTGGAAAAAGTCAAGGGGTCTGAATACTTTCCGAATTCACTGTATGTCAAATATAGGTAATATATTTTGTGTCCAATACCATTGCACCACTTTCCCAGCTAGAGCCTTTTACAGAACATGACCAACAATTTAGCATCAGCTATCTCATCTACAGTATAGTCTTCTGGGACATCGTACCAATTTACCAAATGTTGTGTTCCTATTCTTGCTGCTGGTCCATTTTGTCTAGTCACTCCTTCATTGGAAGATTAAAGAATGTTTAGACAATTGAGAAGGTCAATATGAAGTTGTTTTTAGTCATGAGGGTTGTGTTGTAACCTAGATAGAACCTAAGTCATGGGGGTTGATGCTTTTGTCCCCCCAATGCTCTGTCACCTGAGTAAGGAAACATTTCAAGTACCTAAACCACATGGTGTCGCACTTGTACATGTTAACAGATTGACTTGATGCCACCGTTTTCATTATGTTGAGTCAAAATCATATCTATTTTATGTATCTCGATAATCCAATGGGTTATGATGATCAGAACACAGACGTTGAATAGATTTAAGGCGGCAAGTAGCCTAGCGGGTAAGAGCGTTGGGCCAGTAACCGAAAGGTCGCTGGTTCGAATCCTCGTGCCGACCAGGTGAAATATGTCGATGTTCCCTTGAGCAAGGCACATCGCTCTGGATAATAGCATCTGCTAAATTACTCAAATGTAAATATAATCATTTGCCAGCCTATCATTCAGTTGTATGACCATAATGTGTGAAGTAAATACAGACCGTATTCCATGCGTTGGTGGGCAGCCAGCAGGACTTAGAATACTGCGCCATTGTCTGAGCGCATCAGTCGCTGTTCCTTGAGGCATTTGTGTATTATGTGACAGTGAACTCTTCATTGAGCAAATATTTGATTTAACTACGTTTCCTCACAGTCTTCAAGCAGGTTTAGGGCTAACAAACACGGTTCTGTCTGTAAATTTTTCAGAAGTTATTTGCGAAAGGCAATCCTCGTTAAATTTGACATAGGGTCTCTACATTTCACAAGCAGACATTAGGCAGTTCAAAGCAGAGCGGAAACCTTGCAATTTTATCTCGATATGTTAAACTTCACATTTCATTTGAGCAAAATTCAAACATAATTCATAGCTATACACCAAACAATTCCATGGGTCGAGTCATAAACGCGCTTAACTCGCATTTTAGACACATGCATTGGTGTCAAAGGGAGACTTGCGCCAAAGTTATGCAATTGAAGCAACAGTTCGAATTCTGATTTTCACTTTGGTAGTCTAGGTTCCCCTATGGACCCAGAATGTCAATTTCCAAGAGCTATTAGAAAAAGACATGTAACAAATGCAGGTTTTAATATTTTCTTTATCTCATTTTGTAATAAACATATAAATAATAAACTCTAGACATTTCTGACACATCGCCCTGTTATGAAAGTTAACTGGAACGCTATAAACTATCCAAACTGTGCATATGCCGCATGTAATTTCTATAAAACTATTTCCCTATTACAAAATATGAAAAGAAAAATACATTTTAGTACATTTACAGGAGTTACTTATTAATTTATTCAACGAAACGTTTTGTTCTATAGGCTACTACTTATACTGTTACTGAATTGTCAGAATGTGCATTTCACATTTTCTCAAAGAAAAAAGAAATACAACAAAAGCAGAGGAAATATACATGAGGCAGAATATCTGTCCCACACTGACAATTTAAATGAAACTTTTCCAAAATAATAGAATTCTTAATAAACAAAACAATACAAGATTTCCAAGACTTTTCCCAACTATTTAAATTAAAATATATTCTCGTATCTTACACTATTTCAAATAACGAAATGTGATTCGGTAACGAGCTGTCAAAATCTAATTTACAATTCTGTGTATAAAAATATAATTTATGGACCCCCACGAAGTTTGTTTATCCCCAAAATAGAACAGTCAGTTGCACATAATATGCACAGAACATTGCAACCTGTCAAGAAGTTTGCTGCTTTTTACATGGTCTTCTTTTTCTTTGCGGTTTACTTGAGATATACAAAAATAGATTCTGCACAATTTGCTGGTCACACAGTTTTAGAATCCATCCGTGTGATACCAGCGAGTTCACATGAGAATAAATTATTCAAAGAAAACTTTTAAGGCTCCATTCATTCTTTGAAAGGGACACATGTAAAAGTCACTGAAATAAATATCCCAACTCCGCTGGGGTCTCTTTTTTTATTCTACTATTGTTTATTGTCCTACATAAGTCTTATTTTGCTTTTCCATATGAGGTTTCAACTTGAGTTTATTGACATCCCCAGTGGGTGAAGCGCGTGGCTATCCAAGAGCCACGTTCCTAATTTATATAGAATCTTGGAGTACCAGTGCACTCCGTCCTCGTGTAAGGTGGCGTTGGGCATGGAGTAGACTTTCGGGGATAGCAACGAGGACAGCCAGTAGCTCATTCTGACAGGTGCAAACGCCAGGTGCGCAAGATTGTGGTCTTCAATTACCGCGTAACATGATGCAAGCACCTGATCTACCACGATGGTTCCTTGAACCGTCACAGGCGCAAATGACCCCTCGTGCTCCTCCCTGTAAATCCGTTCTACGGTGACCGACTTCAGTTGGTTATGCAAATCATCAAAGACGACCACCTTTTGTCCAGGTTTGACTTTGCTCGCAAATACTGCTGACATGCTGTGGAGATCATCCGTTGAGTTGTTGACCACAAAGAGTAGATGTGCAGCAGTAAGGGTGATTTTCTGGGCTGGTTCTTTAGTCTCTATCACATAAAACACTCTTCTGGTTGCAGAGTCCTGGTCCACGAACATGATGAAGTCGCTATATGCGAGGTTCCCATCACTGTTGGCTGCCAGCACTTTGTCACCAACTCTGAGGTCTTTCACTGCCTTCCTGCTTCCATCTTTGAGAGTTACAGAAGCGGTGCCTGGGAAGCAGCCTCCTGATTTGGCAGCAACTGAGTTTTCTGTTGAAATAGAAGAGATTGTATTAGTGATTATGTATATATATCCATATATTATTTGATTTACCCATGAGAGCAGGGCGAGTTTTGAGCTCAGCACTGTGGAATATGTTTATAGCACATGGGCCTAATAAGCCTATGAATTAACCACTGTCACATATAAGCTTATTGGCTATATCCATACTTTTTAAAGGAAAGAGGAATGAAAATTGTGATTTTAGGCGCATTTATGAATATCATTTAGGTTACATTATATATCCCCCCCCCCCCCCCCCCCCCCCCCAGCCATATGCTTTCATTTGGCATTATGTGAATGTGGAACTCCTTCACAAAAAACGAAGGCCTATTGGCTGCTTCTTGTTGTGTGAGATGAGAAAACCGAAAGCCCTGGGTCTTCTAACGTTAATTAAAAACCAATATAGAGCGGACATTGTCATTCTAAATCAGCTTGTGGACCTAGCCATTCTTGGAAAATAACACTTGCGCCTTTCCCAGCTTCTCTTCCCATATTTGCTCAGGTGCAGAAACCTCTATGTGACAATTCACACAAATAGCCTAGTACTCTCAGAAAAAAACCAAGGGCGCCGCAAAGACTATTTACCCAGTGGAGACACTTTTCCAAGCCTCTCAAGATGCAGATTTGAATTTAAATGAGGGCCCAGACTCTAAATGCTTGCAGTCGACCAACATCAATGTCCCTTCTTTTTACCACCTCTCCCCCGCTTTGTTGTCAATCTTGATGACAATAATTCGGGCCTTGGGAGAACTCTTTACATTCCGATCTCCAGGATCACACTGTCAGTAAACACACACAGCCACAGAATAGAACCGACCCTCTCTGAATTTCTGGATCTAATCTTCTTTTAAGATTCTGTGGCATGAAGTATGGTGACAATTGAAAACTAGATTTGCCCCAAACGAATTCAACATGTGTAAGTCTAAATCCCTTTGGTAAAGTCACATGACCCCTAATGACACGGACTATATGATCTCAAAACGAGTGTGTTGAATTTTAAATAGATTTTCCATTAAATAAAAAACGCAAATGTTCTCTTCGGAAGAATAGGCCTAAGTCGATTTCCATATGGTTTTTAGGAAACTCAAGAGATGATTTTAACCCAAAAGATTTGTCTAAAGTACTTTGGTAAAATTCATATACATTTTGGAAGGCCAACACTGATCCAAACATAGCCCTAGAATAGATTGTTTCGATCGAAAAATAATACAAATCTACACATCTAAAGCTGTAATGTGTTTAGTTAACTCGAATAGCCTTCTCTTAACATGCAGTGATTTTGAAGTCCATAGCCTATCAGTTAGCTTACAGGAACAGGGCACAAAATGAAAGTATAGGCCATGGCATTTTATGAGTGTGGGGATAGATTTTGTGAAATATAATGTCGTGGTTCCATCGAAGAGACGGTGTGAGGCGATATAAGATCATGAAAAAGTATGGTAGGGCCTATGCATTAAACATGAACAGGCAGCAATTACCCATACATAACACAACTACTATAAATAACTAAAAAATATGGAGTAGGCCTACTTATTTGAAATCTAGAAAGGCCTATCAATCTAGAATAAAATTGATGGGCCTAAAATGAAGGGATAAGTGATCACGGTATAACAAGTGAATAGCGAGAGGACACATTGTGGGGAACTCTGGAGGTTGGCTAACGAGAGAGCATCAAATAATATCCTAGAAACGTTGTTTATTTCTACAAACGTTGTTTATTTATATCCAATAATCTATGTTGATTAATTATCTAGCTGGAGTAGCATAATGTAAAAAAAAAAAAAACTTTATCATCAATGTCATTATTCGTTAATCGGTGAGGAATAGGCCTTTAAACAACGTCCATGCAACTTATTGTGTGGGTTTGATGTAGGCTAATGTAAGTAACTGGAATTCAGACAAATGAAATGTGCGAGTTTAAATCGAACATAATAATGTTTTGAAGGGGGAGGGCGGGGGCTATATTCCCTGTTATTACCACGTTTCCCATTCACATTCGTTTTTAATGTCAGTGATGGCGACAAACGGCTTCTTGACTTCACACCCTACCTGCTTTGACAGAACAGTGGATGTGGGCCTTGGACTCGTAGTGGACCCAGTCGAATCCAGCCTCCACTGCTAGTCTGGACAGCGTGCCGTATTTGCTCTTGTCTCTATCGGAGGTCGTGATATCCACTGCCCTTCCCTCGTAGTGTAGTGACTCTTCGAAATGGTGCCCATCCTCGTCCCAGCCCTCCGTGACGCGGAGCTTTACCCCTGGCCACTGATTCATGACGGAGATAGCCAGGGAGTTCAGCTTGTCTTTACATCTCTGGGGGAAAGAAAATGGACCAGTTAGTCGTCTATTAAGATGTATCAAATTCACTAATCATGCTCACTAGATGCTAATACCCTTTCATGTATATCAGGCCTGGGTATTAAGCCTAAGTAATAAATTAAGCTAATATTTGAGCCTGATATGATATTAAGGATTATGTTCCAGACAGTGTATATTAATATATTGGCTCATAATCTTAATTCAAAAGCCTGAAGGTATGGGCTATTTTGTAGATGCATGGTTCGAGGCCAAAACCCTTAACCTATAGAGTTGCCATTTTCCTATAGTTCAAGGTCTTCAAAGGTCTTTCCAAAATGCAAATCATTAAATAGTTAACATTTCATTACATCTGTTAAACCTGAATATCTCCAAGATTCCACCACACTAAAGGTCAACTGAGATTCAATAAATATCGTCCATCATGTTGTTCTATGGAGTGATATGTGATGGGATATATGCCTACTCACAACAATGTGAATGGTTTGTTTGAATTACCTAAGCTCGAATGTTCTGTGTGAAGAGCAGCGTTAGAGGGCACATCTCAGATAGAGAAGCTTGTGATGAAAAATTGATAAGGCATTGCATTCGCTTCACTGGCCTAAAACATATAGATCTGGTCCTTGGACAGGTGCGACCGCTCAATGGCCTATTTGTACTCTCTCCCAAGATGCTATAAGATGTGATAGACTCCAATAAAATGAAATGCTGGAATTAATTACATATTTAAAATGCATCTGAATGGGAAGAATATATCACTTTAATGAACCCAAGAGACTTTAGTAGGCTAAGCTGTGTGTTTTCTTTGAATAAATAATTGATATTAAGGATAATCTTCAGAAATAACTGAGTTATAAAATAGTTTCCTATAATTGGAATGTTGCACTCTAACCTATCTCGGGACCCTTTGTGAGATGCTTGGCCTTCTCCAAGACAACCCTTCTCAACACTTAACCAATAGGGTCTATGTAAAATAAAACATCACAAAGTGTATTTTCACCGCAACCAGAGGGAAAGTTTAATTATTCTCGTCGCCCAAGTTCTTGGGACATGACAGGACTACTCAACTGGAGGTGGTTTGGTTCTCTTCCCTAAAAAACGAACTATCTATATAGAGCTAGTAAGACACACACACACACACTAACACATGGGCCACCACTCCATCCTTTCCCGTTTGTTGGCAAGGATCCCCAAGACATGCTGGTCATAAGGTTAGCCTTCCAGTGATATCTCAATTAGCCTAACCCGTCTTTCCTGCGAAACGTCAAAACAAACCAACATTATACTCGCACTTGTAGCATGCAGTGGGTGAAAAAAGCAAAGGGGCCATTCCAAAACCTTTTCCTGCACATTCTGAGTACGATAGCCGGAGTCAAGAGCCGTGAAGCCTAAACTATTTATTAATTCATTGGGTCGTGTGCCGCAAATCAAGCCAAATTCTGTTCATTCACCGTGAAGCCCAGCAGCATCCCTCCGCGGCGCTTTGTGCTCAGACTAAAGTTGTTCAACAAGCCTCGCCCGCAGCCTGCCTCTTAATCTTCTCACAAATGAATTGGTTAGAGGAAACACTTATCAGGTACCTGTCAGTGCAAACAACCCACTGGTCCGTCTCAATATCGCCTCGTTTGCCTGGCTATATTCAGTTCACATTAAGCTGTGCTTGCTACAGACGACCATGTGATGTATTTATTCCCGACAGACTCTTCGGGGGCTGCGCGCTAAAAAATGTCTGTAAAGCGAGGACGTCATTAACTTTCCTCGAAACGAACTTGTCTTTGTAGTTGAGGGGCTGCTTGGTTAACCCGCTCACTCAAAATGAGTTGTCGCAGCCTGGGGCATCACGCTTTTATAGTCATCACTTTACCTGGAGTTTTATTTACATTTATGAAACCACAACAGACACACGTTTCATCTACGTTGACATTACGGTTTGATTAAACAATAGTGAGACTATTCCAGGAATCCATCATATAGCCTACAACTTTCAGTGCACCTGTGCACCCACAGTGCGTCCGCGCCGTCCCTAAGACAGCCCACTGGATTGACCTTTACGCACAACAACCATCCAATATAGACGATGGCAAACATATTCTAGATGCTAACCATTAGCTCTTCATATTATTCAGATATTACGTTTGTTTATCTCTAACTCGTGCTGTTGTTGCAGGTGCATCTATACATTAGGGCTAGGCAGTGCGCCACTAAACAGCAAATAAGTACTTAGCACTCCATACTTTAATACATGTTTTGTCTGAACTTTGTTTAAGCTTCCTCTTCTCATTGACCAAAGGTCATACGTTCAAATGCTCCCGCTTATGTTTATGAGCCTCCTTTGCCTTGCCTGGTTTATCTATTGCAAATATGTCCTATTTCAAATAATTCAACTTTCTTTGAATTATAGCCTAGCACAAGGCAGAAAACAATTACCTTATTTTGTAACTCATAATGCCATTAATATGTTGTTTTTTATGGTTTGGCGCATTTGTTTATGCAGTGATATCAGAATTAAACCAAAATACTTCCTCTACTCTATTCAGATCGATAAAGAAGGCCGGTAAATGGGGATGGTGTGTCCAAAAAGGAGAGTCGTTGGCACAATTCCCTGTTCAACCACAGCTTTAACTGGTAGTGGCCGAGGGCTATAGACAGAATAAAAGGTTGAATTTCACTCTAGCCTCCATTTAAAGTGTGATAACGTATATATTGGAAGAAGGGAAGGGAGCGTTTAAGAGAGATGTTGAGACTGCACGCAGGGTGAATATTTAATCAGAGCTCGTGCCCATGTCGCTGTATACGGTCCAGGGAGTCCGGCACGCGCACCTCCATCACACTACTTCAGGTTCAGTGGCATTTTAAGGTGGCCGGACTAAAGTAATTCGGTTATTATTAAAATAGCAGTGCGACATAAGCGCAATAAACACCCAAAATAGCCTAACAGTAGCTGGAAATCAAGTAACCTTATGGGCGCGAGTCATGCTATCCAGACTGTGCATTTCTGACCCATATTTTTATGGACCATGCATGCAAGCTAGCCACCCAGAATCTTATGAAGACATCACACCCTAGCATTTGGCTAAGGGAAATCTGATTCACAGGTACGACAATGCTTATTTGCCACTAATGCTTTTTTGCCACTCAGCCTTTCCAAAGCAAATGCATTACCCGAGGCACAGTCTTGCTATATCATTGCACAAATTGGCCGCGTCCCACCCATTTATGAAGTAGTGATAGTGTTCAGAACATTCTCAAAGAAATGTCAGTCTTCATGCGCCGATAAACACTATACTGCGAAAGGGTGAATAACAGTATGCAAGAAATATCTGAATGCGCCAACCATGCATAAACAACACCGCTGTTTTAGTCATAGATGCCAGATCAGATGACTGAAATTAAGATTTAAAACAAGATGTAATCTAAATCTTAACGGTGCAATAGCTGAATATCTAAATGCTATATAGTAGGCTAATGCATAAACAGCCTATGTGCGTCTGCACAAGACAAGGCCTTGATACAAATATAGATATGAGGAGAGAGGACCACATAAATATTTCAAATAAACTGCCACAATCATGAAGGCCGAGTTTCTTACCGAAATGCCAGTAGGCCTATGTCATGTCTCTGGTTTGATTATGAAAGCCTTACCCATGCAGGACCTAATCAAAAGTGCAATGCTCTGAGATTGAAACGGAACCTTTTCACACATCTCCTTTAAAAAGCACAGACCTGAGACCTAAATATGTCCTTATTTGTGGTGCGCAATCTTCATCCTTATGTGAAAGGTTGTGTTAGACAGTGTGCTAGAAGATGCACGGCATTAAACATGTATTCGTTTTACCTGAGTCATGAGCCGGTCCGCACCGGTGTTCTCTTCATCCTTAAAGATAATGTCAGTATTGTAATTGGGAGTCAGTTCTTTAAATCGCTCGGAGTTCCGTGTGATCTTGCCTTCATATCTGCCACTGGCCCCTAGGGTCTTCTCCGCGACGTTTGGGATGAACTGCTTGTATGCAAGAGGGGTCAGCTTCTTCGGATGTCTTCTCCTCCCGTAGCCCCTGCCCGGTCCACAACCCATCCCAGAGGACACCAAGGACAAGCAGATCAACCCGACCAGAACGATTCTTGTCAACAGCAGCATTTCGTCCATAAAATCTAAATTACTCGGAGCCTCAGTATGTTATCAATCGGCGGCCGTTTCTATATCTCTCCTGCCTCTCGCGCCACTGCTTCCACAATGTCCTTGTCTCCTCCTCTAGTTCGTCTGTAGGCTACCGTGCCCCCCGATCACTACCGTGGCAGGTGCGGAAATGAACGCCTCTTTAAAATGATAACGGAACACATCGAAGGAAGGACGTTGCTACGTGGGTAAAAAGTGGGAAAATTAGCCACGGAATCTCTGCGTAGTCGAGCTACAGCGGCTTGTGCGAGCAGACCGCTTTTACTGCTATGTATTATAGCACCGATCTATGGCAGGGAGGGACCTGATTGGTTCGCCCAGACAAACCCATCTGATGTTATCCCAAAAAATAGTAAAAAAATATTTAAATATTTTTTTCCACCTGAAGGGTGAGTTAGAGGGGAGGGGGTGTATTCCATGGGAAAACATCAATTACACCTTTTTTCTCTCTTCCTCTGTTCCTAAAACTAACCAATTGATGAAAACCCACCTAGTAGCCTATAGGCCTATGTTGTTATGTTATTTGACTTAGTGTGGGTGATTCAAATGGTGTGTCTAGAATTATTAGTTAAACTTTGGAACACGTTGACTTCCCACTTCTGGGAAATAGCTTGAAAATGCGTGTGCGCGCACGGGTGCATGTCTCTGACTGACTGAGAGTTTCTCACTGTGTAAGAGTGAGTCTATGTTAGAGTGTTTGGGTGGTTAGGCTGCACGAATAAGCCAGAAGTTGTCAAGAAGTTGTACAATTGGTTAACCATACAGCCCAGTATTAGTGTTGCTTCTCATAGCCACTGTTTGGAAACTAGACGGGTCAGAGAACAAAAATAAACCTTTCTAAAACAGCTATTATGAAATATAATTTAGACTAAACTACTATATGCCCAAATGTCCAACTATACCATTTGACTCGTGCACGATACCCCTAATTCTAGTTTAAGCATTTTAGACCCATTTTCAGTCAGAACAGAAAGTAGCAGGACAAATTGCGTTTCAGTCTGATAATGCATAAAAAGAGAACATCCTATGGTCGTATATGTTATGTCAGTGGATGTGAAAAACCTTGCGTTTATTTTCTTGCAAAAAAATTAATAAAACATCAATGCGCATGACACTGCCATAGGCCGTGGAGCACACATATGCTATGTGAATGCATGGCACGTTTTAGAACCACCATCCAATTTTCTTTAGATAAAGCTTTGCATGGAAGCAGGCTTTTTTTAAATGGACAAAACTGGCAAATTAGGTCAAACTCAAATTCAAAGTTTATATTAACGGTTCATGCGTAATGCGCGCTTTCCATGAGCCTTTCCAAAATTCGCCAAATGGTAATTATTGTAACGACACTGCAATACCATGTGCAAACACAAATTATAAGAGTAGCCAACACTTTTCTGTTACTTTGTGTAACACCTGTTAATAAAAATGTTGAATTACATTTTCTTTATTGTTACAGTAGCCCTACACTTATGTTGTGTGGAAGCATTGGCCTATAAATCTATAGGTTCAGAATTTCAGCCTTAGAACTAGGGGAATTCCTTAGCACTAAACATTTAAAAACAAATACACGCAAAACAAACTTTTATTATTCAATCTCTTTCAAAACTAATAACATCCAGGCCTATTATGGAATATAATTATGTTTAGGCCTATCTTAATCAATTCCCCCAAATCAATGGAACCATAATCCCAAAAATATGGATAAAACCAGATCAGCACAAAAGGGTGTCCTGGTTTGAATGGTGTTTTGGGTGGAAGAGACTTCGGTTGTTCTGAGGTTGTTATCCCAGGCCTCTCCTTCCTCCACATCCTGGGCCATTGGTTATTGGAAATGGCTTGTCAAGTGTACACAAACATGCTGCTGTCTGTTTGGGCCAGGGATCAGACCACAACGCTTGTCCCCCAAAGTCCACTTCATTGACAGATTAAGCCATGGTAACCACTGTATTCACTGGTCCATAGCAGCAGGCGAGGTATGTGCGTTAATTGTCTTACTTTCTCTTGTCTTCACACGTTTGCAGGACCGCTCTCAAAGATGGTGTCTGTTTGTCTTGGGAGACATATTAACGCTCTGCCTCTGCTCCTCCATGGTCAGGCCTTTGTTAGGATGCCCCATTGCAGATAATGATTTGTTTTCTTCCATTGGATGCTTCTGGAGATGACCAAAACTCAATGTATAGATATAATGTTCATCAGTATCCATTTGATGCTGTATGGCAGATCATATCTGAGCTTCACATAGAGATTGTGATCTGTTTAGATGGCTTTCATCAATCTTTTCTGGGTTTATCTAAGTAAAATCCTTGACTATGACTTGTCAATGAGTGAACCACTCTGGTCTGACACAATATAAAACATTAGCAGAGGCCTTGAAGATATTGCCAGGATATTGCCACAGTGAATGGCCATTGTAGCGGGAATAGTGGTCCTGTGTGGCTCAGTTGGTAGAGCATGGCGCTTGTAATGCCAGGGTTGTGGGTTCGAGTCCCATGGGGGGGACCAGTATCAAAATGTTTGCGCTCACTACTGTAAGTTGCTCTGGATAAGAGCATCTTGTAAATTGTAGTGTTTCTCTGCTCTGATATATGCGTATTACTACATAAATAAGCAGCACAGAAGAAATCTGGGGCTTGGTTGAGTAAAAGTCTAATGGGAGGGGCTTTGTATGTAATCACAAAACCCTTTGTTCAGTAAGGAGGTGCTGATTTGGGTCGAACAAACAATGGATTACTTAGCATTTGGAGATTATTCATAAAAATGGCTATAAATAGAAATAATGTGTCCTGGGTGAACTATTGGTTAACACTGGTATTCCATATCATAGTGATAATGCAAAAATATGAGTAGTTACGATTAACCTATATTTGCATGATATAATAGGCCTATAGTTCTTCCTTGTGCTTTGCTTTGACCGCATTCACCACCGTTTTGTGGCACGAGAGTGGGGGCGATCCTGCCAACCACGGGAGAGATGGGTTGGGTCTAACTTAAACCTGCCCTGGCTGACCTCCAGCACTGCCAACACTGTGTCCATGTCCCATGCCAGGCTCATGCCAGCTCAGTTAAGGGCTGGTGATGCTACATGCCACTTAGTGTGCGCAGGAACATGATGAAGCCCTTACCAAAAGATGACCAGCTTAATTGGCAGAGCTTCAGGCCAAACCGAAAGTCCCCCTCTTTCAGAGTGCGAGAAAAATAACTTGATTATCTACATATAGCTGTGCGCATACCCTTGAAATGCCTCTATGTTCTTTGTTTCCAGAGTGACAGGAGAATCTCATTAGTCTCAGCAGTAGACACATTTCAGCAGCCGTCAACATGTAAGTCCTGAGTAAACATAGGGAGGACTAGCCTACAGCTGCAGGAGACGTTCCAAAACCAAGGGCAGTGTTTGGGCTGAGGTCACAGGCAGTGAACAGGAGTTCAGGTATCACTACTCTGAGATGTAGACCCAGGCAGGCATGCCAGTGATGCCACCCAGGTGCCTCAAAACCACAGGGACCACCGCGCGGTGTTGTGGGGACTGGTGAGGCAGGTGTCACACTCACCCTCAGACTCCACCACCCCACCACCACATCCGCCCTGGTGTCTGACGCCATGATGTCTTGTACCATCGAACCAACTGGGTACATTACCTCAATCACACGAGGAGAAGAGAAAAAGGCCTCCCTGTAAATTGGTAACTAAATGTGTGAAATGTAAAAATGGTAAGCAATGTAAATAATGCAGACTGGAGTCTATGAATAATGCAACCTGTACAGAGGACTAGGAGGCTATGCTGCTGCCTGGGCTCCGAGGGAACCAACCAGTCCACTGGAAGCACAGCTGACAACAAGAACACAGCCCAGGCAAGCATCTCTTCTCCAGCATTGACACAGGCTCTGGGGTGAAGTTTCCCCTAGGTACAGATCTAGGATCAGCTTCCCCTCCCCCAATCCTTACCTATTAGTGGGGGAAATGCAAAACTAACCCAAGATCAGCATCTAGGGGCAACTTCACCCTACTCCGAGGCCATGTACAGAGGGTAATGGAGGGGGACAGGACGGGAGATATCTGGATGATCTGAACACTGGGGCAGAATCTCAGCATCATAATGTTTATACGGCGGTAGAGACTAGCCCATTTAGAGACAGCTCTCATAAAGAGTAGAACATAGTCACCAGGGACAGCAGAGCAGTAGCAGAGAGCCATGCTAACTGCTACCAGGAGTGACACAGCAACATTAAGAGTTGTTTGATTAAATCATTAAAGGGGAATTGAGGGCATTATGAATTGCGTATCGCCGTGGAGCCTGTTGCATGTGATGGATAATCCACTGTGAGGAGTAGTGAGATGGATGACTCATCAGTTCTCTCCGTGGCCATAGATCTCCATACATCTCCCTTCCAGGTGACTACGGGTATGTCCCATATGGCAACCTAGTTGCTACATAGTGCACTACTTTTGACCAGAGCCCTGTATAGGGAATAGAGTGCCATTTGGGATCCAGCCTACACTACCTTCTCAACCCTTTTCTCTGCGATGTGATTGGGGCCATATTCCATAGGCTTGGATTGAAAACACCAGCCATACCCAAATAAAGCACTCATTGGCTGTTTGAGCATGTTCCCCTCACCAGTTTGAGCTGGCATGGAGGATCTCGATTTGCCTCTGATCTGATCAAACCAAAACAGGTGGCTATTTTTGCACAATACAGTGTTAACCAAGAATGTGGCGAGGTAGAAAGAAAGAGGCTGAACAGAGATTTTGCTGGTCTAAGTCCTTCCATGACTGTTCTAAGTTCTCCTTCTGTCTGAGGTTTTGAAACCCTGTTTGATGGATTAACGCTGCAGAGTAATCATGCATACACACACACACCCTGTGCCAGCTAGTTCTCTGTTTGTTTGGGAAAAGGAGGTTTCTTTATTCGACCCAATAGAAAACCATCACCAAGGACAAGGTTGATAGTTTCAAATAGCAGGTGTCCCGATTCAGGGCTTGAGGGCTTTCATCCTGGCCTGAACCTTTGGCAATCTGCAAAGCTGAAACTGGCACACTTATGCCAGTTATCCCACAACCTTTCCCCAGGTGGAATTATCTTTCTATCTATGTCTTTGAATCACTTAAGACGATACAATCGTGCTTTTAGAGAACATTGGTCGTCTTTTGTATTGAAAGGATTGATATGTCCTGAAGGCATTTCTTTTGAGTTACAATGGAGATTGCACAATAACAGTACCTGGGATTGTAGCTCTGTGTGTCACAGAGTCTGTGAAGACGTTTTATTTGCTCCCTGAAGCCGCTCCCAATACTTAAACATTAAGCGCCAAGGCTAGACAGGCAAAACCACTT